TTTTTTTTTGTCCCCATCTTTTTCAGTTTATGTTCTTTTTAAAGCAAAAGAAAAAAAATAACTGCAGGAAAAATTCAAGAGCTTTATAATTGTCCATATTGAATGTTTGGTGCTGTGCAGTGATCAGGTTTTTTTTGTGGTTTTTGTTGTCTCTGTGTGTAAAAGTGTGTCTGATGTATAGGAAGGAGAAAGAAAGAAAATACAACAAATTTAGTTTTCTTTTTCCCTTCCAACAATATGTCAAAAAAGATATAAAAATCTTTCAGAAAAAAATGGAGTTAAAGGCTAAAAAAGTTGTTGCTAAATATCAGCAGCAAAAAGAAATAAAACCTTACAGAAGAAGCTCAAAAGAGATGTAGTTAAAAAATTCCGAAAGCTTCTTGAAACAAAAATTTTTTCCACTATTTAATAAAACCATAGGAAATCCGTAAATAAAACTTAATCAATTTTAGCAGCAATGACTTAAAAAAATTGCACAAATAATTTGCTGTTAATTTTGAAACAATTCTGAAGGAAAGTACATATTGTCGCAGAACTTCACAAATACATAAACTACAGTTACGAACAATACAGACGTGACAAAACTATATCATTGATTCAAAGGCAAAAAGAAAGATTAAAAAAAAAAGACTAGTTTTTCTTTATAGATATTTTGAAAAAAAAATTGCAGATAAACTTACTAAATCGAGAATCTGGTGTACCATACCAGCCGGTTGCAGATGGTCCATTGGCTACATAGCTGAAACTAAACACTAATTGCTACACAAATCAAGTTCCAGAGAAACAAACAGAAGACGTTGTCAATAGGTCGAGGAGAAAAAAAAAAAGAGCTGAATAAATATATAAAAAACTTTTAAGAAATACAGCAGCAGCAACAACAACGGTATAGGTTCTTGATTTTGACTAACTTAAAATTAATCTAATTAACCTTGGAAAATCCGGCGTAGTTTGATAGCTGTTTGGAAATGGTGTGGGCAAATACGGCGATGCACCAAATGCTGGGGCTACACCAGTATGTGTTGAGGCAGTTGACGGTTGAATTGTTGCACCGGCTGGACGATAGCCAGAGAAACCAATTGACGACGATTCTATTGAGCCAATGGCTCCTGGTGCATTTGCCATCTTTAAGAATTTTCGCTGAGCTCGAGCTACAAAATAAAATTTTTTTTTCCCCGTATTTACATTCCTTTATTTACACTTATCATCAAAAATTACAGTAAGCAATTTGGGCTGCAAAAAAAAAAAAAAAAGAGACGGAACAGCTATAAACTATTAAAGCGATAAACTATGATAACTATTAGTGTAAAAATGTATAGTGTAAAGGTATATAACTGTATTGAAACAACAAAATATTTTTCTAAGATATCAACTTAGAAAACTTACTTTACTGTAGAAACAGTTACATTTGATAGTAAATGAGTATTTTTCAAAGACTGAACAGAATTATACACCCTATTAACACACTTAGACTGAGACACAAACACACACAGAAACACTCAGAAAAATTTGTAAAAGCAAAGCAAATAACTGAAGATTGGCAAAAAAAAAAAAAAAAAAAAAAAAAAAAAAAAA